ACCAGCACTCACTGATAAACAAACAACACGTTTATACACACACAGACATAAAAGAAAAAGCATTGGAAGCACACCATAAATATTGTAGTTTGCTTAGAAATCATGCTGAACTATTTTTAGTAGTTTTTCAGACAAAGTTATCACCTTAGATATAGTAGTATATATATATATATGTATATATATATATATATATATATTATGTATATATATATATATATATATATATATATATATATATATATACCAATATAACCAGGACATATTCAATGAATGCTATGTCTGCACGCTATGCGTGTCCTCATCTTAGCCCACCACCTCCCCAGCACCACCTGCCTAGATCCGCTACGGGAATCTTCCTCTCTCTAGCAGCAGCAGCAGCAGCATGTTTTCTTTTAATGTCATGATCTGAGCATTTAGCAGAAGCAAGTCTTCTTGCTCAGCAGCAGCAGCAGCGTAGAAGATCTAGTCTGCCAAGACCAAACCTATGCACATTCTATTTACATTAATAACGTTTTTTGTCATGACTGAACTGCAGATTTACATTTTCACAAAGACATTATTTAGTATATTAATAAGCTGTTTTTGTTACAGTGGCAGGGCTCATAATGAAAGCATCGACCACAGGGAAAAACTGGCTATAATTAACTGCTGACTAACAAACATCTACTAAAGAAACTGTCTGCCATGATTTGCACATTTTCTGTCAATTTTCACCCAAGTGTGAATCCACGAGTTCTGGCACAAAATCATAATCGATGACGTTCCCTGTTAACTCGACTGGAAAATTGACCATCAGAAGTTTATCTAGGATATCTAAAGTGTTTTATTATTATTATTATTATTATATTCCTCACTTTACACCACTGAAACAAAAATATGAGGGACAAAACGACCTGCGTTGTGAGACAAATGTACAGGCAAAAAAACAGCTAAATAAACCAGTTGTCATAAGGATATTTATAATGTCAGTTTTAAACCCTGCACGTGCTTTTAAAAAAGCTCTCACTGATTATTGCAGTTTGTAAAAACATTTTTCCTGATAAAGAAGCTCAGTTTGTGCTGAAATGATGAAATATCTGTCATTACTCAAGATCACCACGCGAGGTCTCCATCAGCACAAGTCTGTCAATCTGTTGCTATAGTAACAGCAGCCTGCTTCAGCCTCCCGTCTTACCGAAATTTCCTGGGGTTTGAATTTTGATTCGAGTTGATCCAATATTGAAAATGGTTTATTAAAAAAATCGTTTTAAATCATGTAATGCAGTGTTGTTTCTTTCAAAACCTCACATGCACATGCCCTATATTTGAGACTCATCGTGTTTGACTGTGTTTTTTTTTTTCAGGTATGATATCCGTAAATACCCCACCTTCCTGCACCTGCACGGTTACCTTTGACTATAAGGTCCCCTACTACACCACCATACTGCGTCTCTTTCTGCTGTCACACAAAGACCAGAGGCAGATGTTCCTGGTGAGTTTTGTGTGATTCACCCCACCAAAGATAAACTAAACCTAATAGTCATGTTTACGTGCACCCAAATACTCCGTTTATGATTGGATTGATGGCTCAATCAGACTGAAAACCTTTATCTAAACTCATCAAACAGTCCGATTGAGCTCAATCCGAATGAAATATCAACTGAATTGATTAAGGCACAAAAATAATAAGGAAAAAAAAAACGTTTCATACCATGTCATACGAACGTGCGTACTTTTATTTAGCTTTAAAAGCTAAAATATAAATGCCAGCTTTCTTTTTGAATATGTCATCATGGCAAAGCAACATTTTACACTAATGGTAGCTCCGGTTACATTGTGCCAAATGGATTTTGTTTAACATGAAATGAACATGTAAACAAATATGTGAATCGAATAGCAACGTTCAGGGTTCATATAAACATAACTTTCTGAATGTGAAATCAGGTTGGATTTTTTTTGGTTTTATTTATTTATTTATTTATTTATTTTTATTTATTTTTTTTACAAGAAGATAAATTAATATTTTATTCAGGAAGGATGCATTAAATTAATTAAGGTGACAGTAAAGACATTTATGTTTTGTTAATTAAATGCTTTAAAAAATTAGCACAGTTTCCGCAAAAATATTAAGCAGCATTTATTTTTAGTATTGATAATAATAAAACGTATTAATAAAACGTATTAATAATTGAGTACAAATAATAATTGACAACAACCTAGCCCCAAATCAGCATATTAGAATGATTTCTGAAAGATCATGTGACACAGAAGACTGGAGTAATGATGCTGAAAATACAGCTTTAATCACAGGAATAAATTATATTTTAAAATATATTCACATAAAAAACCGTTATTTAAAATTGTAATATTATAATTTACAAAATTACTGTTATTACTGTATTTTTGCTTGCTGAGCATAACCATTAAAAAAACTGCCACTGCCACTGTATTGTTTGTAATTATAAATAGGTCTAACATCAATATATTTCCCAGCTACAGAAGGTGACATTCACCTGCTCAGGTTTGATGTGTTCAGAAGTGGTAAAGACGTCTGGGAACGCCGGCCTCTCGAACACTCGGTCCAGGGCCTCTAACTGCTGCTGGGTGAAGGCATCGGCTCGCAGATGTTTCCTCAGGCTCTCCACGCTGCCCTGAGAATCACTGCTCTGCGCTGAACCCTCAGAACCGTCTGCAGACACAGAAAACAGCCTTCTAGACTCCAGCATTCAACAACAACTACATGCTGTAAGAATATTCTAGAACCTGAGTGAGGATCTTCTGAGCCAAATGAGTGACGGTCACGTTTCAGATCGTTTGAGTTTTCCTCAGGAGGCCTCCACTGTTTTACTCAAGTAGTTTAAACTCAAGATAGTTGATAAAATGTCCCTCATTTGCCAAAACCAAAGAAATGTCACGTTTCTAGTAATGCATTTAAAGGGGTCCTAATATGTTTTTTCACTTTTCAACTTTAGTTAGTCTGTAATGTTGCTGTTTGAGCCGTAATTATGTAAAATATGTGAAAAATAATGTGTTTGTATGAGAGCCTGTTCTAGTACACCCCCAAAACAAAATCAAGACTTTGTAAAAGAGCATAATAGGACCCCTTTAAAATGCAAGTGAACAGGGAAGGTCTTCTGGTGGGAAATGTGCAACTTATATTTTTGTTGAAGCACTTTCTTTGCTTCTGTACAAAAATGTATGTTTTTTGACCTGTAAACTTGTTTAAGTGGTTTACACTTCTAGGCAGATGAACAATCTCAATAGCAGTTATCTTTGGTCATGGGAGTTTCATTAAAACAACATTGTCTTGCGTGTTTCATGCAAAAGTTACAAGGTTTTTTGGGATTCGATGGCTGTAACAGGAGTTGGATATTGAAGGTTTACACAGACAAGGTTAATAAGTGATTTTATTACACTAGTCTAACAATGTTTTGAAGCTATGCTTTCAAAATTGCCTACTAAATGCAATTTTTACTTATTTTTATAGACTGAAGGCCAAATTTATTTGATATGGTATTGTCGTACGTCTTAATTAAATTCATTTAAAGTTGCATTTAACCAGGAATATTCCTGTAATGTACATAAACATTTATTTTTCTAGATTATTAATATGTAGACAGTATTTCTAGATTATTAATCTCTTCAGTTTAAACTCAGGCATCACTTATTATTATTATTAAAGCTGTTTGTGCAGTGATATCGGACTTAGCCTATATTCATTTGTTATGAATAATCTGAATTTATGGGTTTTGTCCTTCAAGTAAATCAAATGGGATTAATTACCTTTAATTTATGAAGTATTTAATTTAATGGATTATCTAATAATAGGTATTTACATATGCTATTTAGCATTTATAGCATTGCAATTGAATTGCCAGGAAATAAATAACTGTATCAGGACTCTTCCCATGCCATAAGTCTAATAATAGAGTAAATTAAATACTTAATGTTATGTATATGTTAATGTTATCTAAAATATTTGGTCATATCACATATCATATAATTATAGGCCTATATTAGCTTTATGTATTTACATGTGCACAATGCATTGCATGCTCATCTCTCTTGTTTTCTCCAGGCGTGTGCAACACTGATTTGATTCTCCAAAACCTCTTTACTCTGAACCTGACACACACACACACACACACACACTTGAAGAAAACCTCTGCTGTTATTGTTCAATCTCTTTACCGGTTAAACAACGCTCCACAAACAACACTTTCTCTTGGTTTTCCTCTGACCTGATTACCCTTGTGCTGAGTAAAAGATTGCCTCACACCTTCCTCTCTCTGTGTCTCTCTCTCTTCTCCTTTTCACCCTGACAAAACGCTTTAGAGCTCCTTTAAATATCTTCTCATCCCGCCTTCTCTGGAAAGTCACGTCTCCCTTACAAATCTGTCACTCTACATTCGCAGCGTATTATGTTCTCTGTGCGGCCCACAGGTGCTGTGATGTATGACATGCTCTGCCTCTATTGATTGACCCAAGAGAGAAAGAGAGAGAGAAAGATAACCTAAGAAAAATAAAAAAATCCTATTCTTCAGGCATTAAGCAAAATGATGTAAACACATTATCAAATAAATCAAATAAATGCTGTTTTTTTTCTTTTAATCAAAGAATCCTGGAAAACAAAAATGTATCTCGGCTTCCACAAAAATATAAAGCAGCTTATCTGTTTTAAATATTGATAATAATCAGAAATGTTTCTTGAGCAGCAAATCAGCATATTAGAATGATTTCTGAAGATCATGTGACACTGAAGACTGGAGTAATGATGCTGAAAATACAGCTGCGTATCACAGGAATAAATTACAGTTTACTTTGTATTCACATGGAAAAGAGTTATTTTAAATTGTAATAATATATTTCACAATATTACTGTTTTTAAT